GAATATGACTCATTCTTAAAAAAAATAGATTTTTGGAGGGAGAGAGGACTATAGAAAAGTTTATGGAAAAAAAACCCAAAAATAACTCATAATCTTATTACTACAAGTATTGTATTTTGATATGACTCCTTAGAGTCTTTTTCAGTATTATAGTTTATATATAGCATGTCACATATTTTTAAAAATTATGTGATATAATTTTATAATGTTACAAATTTTATACTACATATATTATAGTATACTATAATATACTATAGTGTAGTGTAATATAATAATATAGTATTTTATGTATAATTTTATAATATGTTACATATAATAGAATATTTATTTCTCTCTTTTCTCAACAGGAAACAGATGAAAAAGATAATACCAAAAGGGTAAGGTGATTTCCATAAATATATACACTAAAAAATAAAAGAAACCAGTAACCGTCTATAGTAAATCTCACTACTTTTTTTTAACAGTTCTTATTTCATTATTCGAAGACACGGAAGTTGGGCAATTCAAATGTTGTGGTAAGTTGTAGAATTACTTCATATTAGTAATCATTAGTATTTTTTTAATCTGTTTTTACAGTTTATCTAATAAGCTAGATCAAAATTCATGTTTTTTACTTTAGAAGTTTATATGTGGATAAACAAATGGAATTTAATATTTATTATACATTAATTTATTTTATATCTTAACTACATGTGTTTTAAATGTATTTATTCATTCATTCAATAATTATTTACTGAGTATCTATTATGTGCCAAGCACAACTCTAGGTACTAGGAATATAGCAGTGAATAAAATAGAAAATTAAAAAAGGATCCCCTCCTGTCATGAAATCTACATTCTAGAGGCAAAAAAAAAAAAGTGCAAATGATTAAGAAAAACATATTGCTTTAGATATCAATTAGTGCAAGGATAAAACAGATTTATTCAAAGTCATTTTAAGAATTATTTTAAAAGATGATTGCCGAAAACGTCATTAATAGAAATATCCACTTCTATTCCTCAGGTCTCCTTATTTGTAACTAGGCTCTTAATGTGAGAATTTACTAAGATTAGCTGGATACCAGTAACGTGAATTCAGTTTACTTCTAAATTGTGCAGTTTTAGTAGTAGCTTTTCTTTTTATATGAATGGATTTTAAAAATGCTATTCTGGTGTTTTAATCTAGAGTGCTTAATAATAATTGTTTGACTAAGGTATTCCTTCTGTGATTGTGACTCACTATCATGGACCAATTTAGGGAATGAGGAGCTGTGGAAAGATAACTGTAATATAAACTCAGTTTTAAATAGCATATGGAATATTCTTATGTATGAGGAGTTGAAAGTTAGGTTATACTGGCTTTAGGCCAAATACAGATTGAATTGATTAACAAATAACCATTCTGTAGGGTTTAAAGTAATCCATTTGAAAAATGAATTTAATATTTGTGAGAAGGTTCAATTCAAGCCATGCCCTTAAAATGAAACTGTTTCAGGTAACTACATGTCTTGGATGTACTTTCGTTTTCTTCCACTTGGCATCTTTACATTTTGAGAAAATGTATCTTAGTCAACATTTTTCACCCTCGATGACACATTTGTCACCTTTTGTGTCCCCTGTTGTCTTGTTCCATATGTTCACTTTTAAACAAAATATATATTTTGTAAAGGAGATGACCAGATATGTGTACAGGAGAATCTTCCAGATATACATTTTCATAATGGAAAACTGATTCTCGCAGAGTAGGTTTCCTCTGTCCAAATCATTTTTGCGTGAAGTCTGGAAGCAGGCAGACTCTGAGAATTGCAGGTGGATGGTCTCCTTGCTGGCAGCTGGTGACGGAGCTGACGCCCTAAGAACAGTGTTCTTCAACGTAGCATAGAGCTACCATATTTCATTCAGTGTCTTAGCTTACTCTCCAGGTTCTTTGAAGTGCTCTCCAAGGGCTGTACTACCTAACACCTTTCTTGTTCTTTTTTGGTCTGGATGAAGTACAGTGGGTAAAAGCAAAACCAAAACCAAACAAGTAGGAAACCGTCTTTATGCTCAATGCCGAGAAGCTTTTGTGCTCATCATGTGTGTGTGTTCGTGTCTCTCAGTCGTCTGTCGTGCATCCGTTACTGCAGCTTGTTCCTCACCTGCATGAGAGAAGAACGAAGAGATTCAGACTGGACGTACGTAACACAGACCGCATGCTTGCCTTGCCGCTCTTTGTGGGACCAGTAATTCCCAGTCGTGGTGGTTTGTAAGGTCCTCCTTTTCAGGCTAAGCCCAACATAAACACCCAGTTGGCCTGTGGAAGAGCGTCTGTTGGCAGAACCGTTTTCACTCAGGAAGAAGAGAACTGTTCCCCCTCCCCATGTTATGTCCCTTTGGGTTCAAGCTGGGGGCCAATGAGGAAAACTGGGGTTAGATTCCCTTCCGGGGCTGTGACCCTCCCAGGGAGGAGACCTATTCTTGGTTGAAGGGAGGACACAGCAGTGTGCCTAGTCGCTAGGTAGGAAATAGGAGAAAAGATGGAGAACAATTCATTGCCCTCCGTGTGCGGTTGGCAACTGGCTAGGACAGTAAGCTTTCTATCCACGTCTTAAAATGTTAGGAAGAGTAAGGCTCGTGAAGTAAATATATCAGCAATTAAATGCAGGCACTTTGGTTTTTCAAATTAAAAATATGGCCCAAATCCAGTATCTATGTTTAAGATGAATACAACTGACTTTTAACACATTTTTAACTAGAAATTGTGGCATTTTTATTGTCATTGAAAAGGAATCCTAACTCTCTCGATGATAAAAGTTTCTAGGTATTATTTTAAGTGATGCCTTACTTTGTTGTGATGCATTACAGTTTTAAGTCTTATATTATCTCAGTTTATTCTTTTCACAACTCTGTTAATACACAACTCTTGTCCCCAGTTTACTAAAGGGGAAACAACTCAGAATAAAGATCTTTCCCAAGACAATGCTAGTAAGTGAGCGTATATCACCTAATTTTAAAACAGATTTTTGGTAGTGAAATGTTTTGTGTTCTTAAAGAAAATGAGTTTTCAGATCTTAGTGTATTCAAACACTTTTCTTAAATGTTCTTTGCTAGACATCCTCACTTCCAAACCTACATCTTTTTTATCCCTACTTCCCAAATTCTTTTATATGCAGTTCTATCTCTAAATAATAAGACTAAAAAGACCTGTGTGTTTGGGCTTGAAGATTTTAAATTTTGCCACTATTTAAGTTACATTTTTCCCTGCCTTTTTTTTCTTATAAA